TCTGATCTAAGGAAGAAGGACAAAAATGACCATCCGATTCAACACCGGCAAAATTAAAGCCCTTGACCAACAGATGTCAGACTCTAAATGATGTTTACAATAACTAGATCTTGAAAATTAGCGAATCTTATAGCCAAGACCATGAACTATTCAATTTACCGAAATACCCAGCCATATCGATCAATTCAAGCCAGAGTGTCGCATGACATGATAGAATAAGAAAGGGAGTTCCTTCAGTGTCAGTGAAAGAAAAAAAGAGGTTTCACAAATTCGAATTTTAATTTCCTTCGCGCTGATTCTCTCGAGAGCTTGTTTGACTTTGACTGACAGGACGATTTACAATACTAATAATATCCTTTATAATGCTGATATATGAATCAGTAGAATAGTTTTCTTCCTTCCTTCCTTTCTTCCTTTCTTTCTTTCTTTCTTTCTTTCTTTCTCTCTTTCTTTCTCTCTCTCTTTCAATTCTTTCTTTAAATTTCCGCGAGAACACAAGACGTATATAATGTACATGAATGTGACAATTACTTAAATATTTACACATCTCTTCGTGAATTCAAACACTAAATGCTTTAACAACATACTAGTGATTGTATGTACACAAGAGCGAAGTAAAGCTAAGCAATTAAGAAAAATGCCTGATAAAAGCCATATTATTAACCAACCTGACAAAAAGTATGAGACCTTAAGATAAGTTGGTTGATTGTAAGAAACTCATAAATAAATGTTATTTTTTTTTTGGTTGCTGTTCTTATGAAGGTTGTTGCCGTTTCTAAGCTTTAGATATTAAGAGGAAAATTGTTTTCAACAACGAGCAATAATGGCAAAAAGCGACAGAAACTAGATCTTCGTATGAGTTTTGATCCCAATTTTCGTTTTGGGTTCACACTGAAAACATTTTTTAAACAGTTAGAAACTGATGTACTATGATAAAATGCTTGTTTGAAGCGGTATTTTCAATTGTACAAAGATGTTTTGTTTCATTTGTGTTAGAATGTAGCTTTGTCAGGCTTTTTTTTATAGAAAATGTATGGGGAATAAGCAAATGAAGGCCTAAACCTCATTATCGAATAAAATTTTTGCTTTGGGTTAACATTTTGATTCCACTTTCATCGGTCATCTCCAATTCCAAATAAGTTAAACTTTCCGAATAACAAGATTTTAGCCTTGTACAACAGCCTTTCTTCAAGAAAATAGTTTTTGGCGCTCACCGCTTGAATACGAAAATAATTCTCTCTTAAACTATTCATGGCATTGAGTAAAGAGATTTTATGACTATAACACGTTAAACAACAAGACCGTTGGGTAGTCATTTAATAAAGGTCACAAATTGAGAAATGAAGACAATGAAAAAAGGAAAAAAGAAGGAAAGGAAGAAAAAAGAAAGAAAAACTGAAAGAAAGAAAGGGAAAAAAAGAGAAAGAAGGAAAGAAAAAGAGAAAGGAAGAAAGGAAGAAAGAAAGAAAGAAAGAAAGAAAGAAAGAAAGAAAGAAAGAAAGAAAGAAAAAGTGAACAATATTCGCTTTCCGAAACTCCAGATCACTCGCATAATTGTTTCCTTTCGTTCACTTAGATGTTGTTGTTTTTTCTTCAAAATTATCACTTTGGCGCTTTCGTTTTCATCTCCACTGAATTCGGTCAGGAAATGATGCGTGCTAAAGAGCTTCAAGGCTTTTACGACTTGTATATATGTTCGTTAATAGACCTTACACCTTTTTGTTTTATTTATTTTTTCCTAACTCCGTGCGCTCTATTACAAGTTTCCCACGATCGAATGCGATACTCCTGAAGACAGTGCAACACAATAGTGTATCTTTTTGCGCAGGATACATGCTTTATTAATGCCGATATATTGAGCAAATGTGTTTTCTTTCAATGTATTTATTTTTTGAAAATATTAACGGTCCTATGTAATTACTATTTAACATGAGCATGATACACTAACTGCATGCCATTAATTACCCTAAGACCTTGTCTTATTCGAGATCACCCTAACAACTTTAACAAACAATAGCGCCTTTGTAGAAAGAACAAGGATTCCTTTTTTGGCTCACGAAATAAAAAAAGGAGTTAATGCGGTTTTCGATATTCTGCGAACTCGGTAGTTGAAAGCTACACCCCAAAATTTTTTTTTCTTTTTTCGCTGCCGTCAATCAAAAATAATCAGTCGTCGGTACCTTTCATCAGTATTTTTGACTGGCGCCAGTGAAAAAACAGTTTCACAAAAAGCGTTGAAATGTCTTTGCAGAATATCGAAAACCACAGTAAAGTGCACAAAAAGGTTTAATATTGGTAGTATCAATTTGGTCACCCATGTTACTAATAGTACACATAAGTAATTACACATGAGCCATACCTAATACCGTAAGCCTATATTCTTAAACGCCTGCTAAACAGTAATAAGAATCTTGTGTCATGGTATCGTAACGGATGCTACCGTAAAGCAAATTGATTAATGGCTGGTTCTTAATTCATTAACGTTTGTACGTAATTGCCTGTAAGAGATACGGTCGTCGCCTTTAGAAAAGCAAAAAACGTGTTAAACTTTGCTCTTTTAGAATCTGACGGAAAGACTTTATTGGAACTGAGGAAAATGATTGAGCGCATAATAATGCTTAGTGCCTAGTAGTTTAAGTATTTGGTTCTTAATATTCCATCTATTTCTTGATTTTATTTTTCTCTCTAAGATGATTTTTAAATTATCTAGATAGAACTTAGTAATTAGATAATTTATATACATATTTACTTAGTTTTTTTGCCTTTTTTACTATCTATATATATATATATTTATTTTATTGTTTATATTTGTAAATATAGCAGAGTTATTGAGGGCCGCAAGTTTATTAGCCTTGTGCTATTGGGTGCCACCCTCGTGAAATAAAGTAAATTTATTATTATTACCATTATTGTTATTATTATTATTATTATCATTATTGTTATTATTATTATTGTTATTATTATATATTATTATTATTATTATCAGGGTTAGAAGTTAGTAGATAAAGGAAGGTACACACGTTTTTGGGGGGAAGGTCTGGGGCTTAAAGGGGATCAGTTAAAAAAAAGCTGTTTCCTTGTTGACTTAATATAAGGGCATAAGTTTCTTACTGAATGAATGGAGGAGGGCTACAAGCAATCAGGTCTCCTCCCCCCCCATAAAAAAACGTAATTTATCTAAAGCCTTTTAGTCTTAATTCGATCTGAATCCTTAAATAACCCACTATAATGTAGGATGGAACTGTGATGAAACGTGTAGTCAATGGTGTCAAGAAACGTAGATCCAGAACACTGATCTGGCGGTTTGATATCTACATAACAATCTGTTAAATTCGAGTGTTTTTTTTTTTTCGGCATCCAGCTTTTATTTTTAAAAAACTGATCGGCCGCAAGATCAAAAAAATTCTTCATATTCGACATATCATTGCACCATTGCGGATTTTTTTCCTTTCATGGACTCGTTAACTTGAATGTTTGATACCTTTTCGTTTCATTCATAATATATCTTTTACAAGCCCCATATTAAGCTGGAGCCTGATAATTTTACAATAAAAGAAAAAGAAAAAGACTTGACTTACTGAAAACCGATTGCTCCTTGAAGTCGAACTCAGTCACCTTTTTAAAGTTATTTTAGCTCACTTGCACGTAACTTCGACGTCGAACCACAGAATGAAATCCGTGCATTGATCATAAAGACAACCAATATTGCCTAACTCCCAGCCCTGCTTTTATAATCCTTTTACTTAGTTCTCTCCAATCTAGTAATTTCTTTTTTCCTTATACTTCTTACTACATAATCAAAGGATCACGTTTTGTGTAAAATAAATCATCATTATAGGATTAATATCACAAATACTTAGCGCCGTAGAGTAGGTTTTAAATGATCTCGCTCTGAACCAATCATAATGCAGTGAAACGTACACCATCCAGGAAACAGGTTTTGGATCTCATCTTTTTCCCCCACTCATTTGTTGGTTAAATAATTTTCCTCTCTCCGCGATACCCTAACAAGCCAAAGTTCAAATCGTGACTTGGATCATCCCTAAGGATGGTTGAGGGGTTTATCTGTGAGTTATCCATGTCCTGACCGTTTGATCAGCCCAGAGGCTGTTTCAGGGTTTGATCTGTGAGCTAGATGTGCCCTGACTTTGATCAGCCCAGAGGTTGTTTCAAGGTTTGATCTGTGAGTTAGCCATGCCCTGACTTAGATAAGCCCAGAGGTTGCTTCAGGGTTTGATCTGTGAGTTAGCCGTGCCCTGACTTAGATCAGCCCAGAGGTTGTTTCAGGGTTCGATCTGTGAGTTAGCCGTGTCCTGACTTAGATCAGCCGAGAGGTTGTTTCAGGGTTCCATCTGTGAGTTAGCCATGCTCTGACTTAAAAAAGCCTAGAGGTTGTTTCAAGTTTCTATCTATCTATCGGCGTTCGATCTCAGTAATTGCTGTCTGGTTTTGTTCAGCTGCAAACCTGAATAGTTCTCACCAACAGTTTTCCCATTCCCGACAAGAACCTACCATTATTTCCTTGAGTGTCGTTCTTTTGCCGGTCGTTTATCAGTAACGGGAGAAAACATCAGAAAAAGATGCCATTGTTAAAAAAATCAAAACCGAGTTTTTATGTACCAGGAAAAAAAAAAAAAAAAATCTCATATTTACTGGAAAACAATAAAATTATATCGCGAAGCGTACAGAAAAAACATCTGTCCTGATTTGATGATTAGTTTGAAGCTGCTTGTTCCCTTAGCAACCGCGTTATACTTTTACAAAGACCACTTTCTGTAAGTGCTTTTTCTGTGGGGTTTTCTCAACACGCACTAGCACTGCATTCTATATTCTAATTATAATACGAAAACTGTCATAGCCATCAGTCTATATAAAAATCACTAGAGTACGTAGTAAAATACATGTCCGTTTGGAATTCTCTCTAAGCTGGATTTGTTTTGTACCATGTGATCATCGCTGCTGGCCAATCATTTCGTTTAAAAGTGATCACGTGGTACAGAAAAATCTATCACGCGCGGTACAGAATTAAAAGGTGGGCTCTGTTTTACCACTCCACTGATTTCAATAGTACCGTGAATAGAACCTATTCAAAGAAAATATTTGCCACTTCGTCTACATAATAAAAGAAAATAGTCGCATAAGTTATACGAACTCAATTTTTATACCCAAAATGGTTTTTAATTCTCTAAAGGAAATTTCAGGAACAACCTGACAAAACCACCCACAAAGAAAGCTGAAGCTTAGTGTATGTTTCCTCATGCATAGTGCAAGCTAGATTAGCTTATATTACTCGATTTTCTTTCAAGAAAAAATAAACTCCTGAGCTCTTGACAGATCTGACTTAAAAGCTACAACTCTCGCCTGACATGTATTTTTGTCATTTTAAAGATCGTTCGTTTGGATTAGCTTAGATTACTCGATTTTCTTTCAACAAAAAAAATAGATAAAGTCTGGCTGAGCTGCTGAGTGATCTGACGTAAAGACTACGACTCTCAACTGATATGCATTTTCGTCGTGCATTTTAAAGATCGTTCGTTTAGAGCGAAAATCTCGAAGAATAGTGATTACCCTTAACAAAATGCAAGCTTAAAATTTATCCATTGTAATGCTCTTTCTTGATTTTAAGTTATCAAAGAGTTTGCAATATTTTAGTTTGAAAGCTAGGCCAAGACGTACCAATGAATTAAGGAAAAAATATATGGAACAGCAAGGCGGTAAAAATTACTGTTTTTTTTCTTCTTTTCTTTGGTGCGTACACGGGTCCTGAAATGAAAGCCCCCGGGGAATTCCTTATAGGGTTAAATTGTAATGATAAAAAGGTAAATTATACACTGTATAAAGATGAAAAAACTTGCGGACGCTAGTCCTTCGTCGGAGTAAAAGAGCTTGGGGTTAAATTGTATATATTGGAGATATGTCTGGTAAAATGCTTGAAATCTTCCCGTCCCCGGGAATTCCCCCAGGAACAATTTACTTGGGTGATATGATGATAAAATAAAAGAAAACTCCTCCTCGCCCTCGGGAATTCTTCACTAGGGATAATATACATGGGTGATTTTGTAAAGAAGATAAAATTTCCCTGGCCTCCCCGGGAATCCATCACCGGGATAATGATGCCTGATAGATATACCTGGTGGAGGAGTTGAAATCTCCCCCCAACCCGACCCCCCGGGAATTCCTCACAGGAATATAAACATACCTTGAAGACATACCAGATAGAGGTGGTTGACACCCCTACACTCAGGGCAATTTTTACTTAGGGATATTACAGCGCGACGCCCAAAGGTATGAGCAAAGATTATGTGACAGACACTTTTTCGTGTCTCGGCCATTATCGAATCAGCATTTTATCTTTGTTCTAAACGCTAACACTGTCAAACAAATATCTCACAATTATTCCGCCAAGGCAAAGTTATTATCGAGAAATAGTCCAAAGTTCTCGATCAACCACCAGCGCACGATCTCGTACAATCACCTGCAGTGGATAATGAGAATAAAATATTAAGAGAGAATTCTTTTTGTATTTAAGCAGTGAGCGCCAAAAACTATTTTCT